GATGTGTCAGAAACAAGGAAACCGCCACACAGTGTCTCTGCCAGATATGTCAGAAACAAGGAAACCGCCACACAGTGTCTCTACCCGACGTGTCAGAAACGAGGATATCGCCACACAGTGTCTCCGCCAGATGTCAGAAACAAGGAAACCGCCACACAGTGTCTCTGCCAGATATGTCACAAACAAGGATGCCGCCACACAGTGTCTCTGCCTGACGTGTCAGAAACGAGGATATCGCCACACAGTGTCTCCGCCAGATGTCAGGAACAAGGATACCGCCACGCAGTGTCTCTGCCAGATATGTCACAAACAAGGATACCGCCACACAGTGTCTCTGCCAGATATGTCACAAACAAGGATACCGCCACACAGTGTCTCTACCTGACGTGTCAGAAACGAGGATATCGCCACACAGTGTCTCCGCCAGATGTCAGAAACAAGGAAACCGCCACACAGTGTCTCTGCCAGATATGTCACAAACAAGGATGCCGCCACACAGTGTCTCCGCCAGATGTCAGAAACAAGGATACCGCCACGCTGTGTCTCTGCCAGATATGTCACAAACAAGGATACCGCCACACAGTGTCTCTGCCTGACGTGTCAGAAACGAGGATATCGCCACACAGCGTCTCCGCCAGATGTCAGAAACAAGGATACCGCCACGCAGTGTCTCTGCCAGATATGTCACAAACAAGGATACCGCCACACAGTGTCTCTGCCTGAAGTGTCAGAAACGAGGATATCGCCACACAGTGTCTCCGCCAGATGCGTCAGAAAAAAAGGATACCGCCACGCAGTGTCTCTGCCAGATATGTCACAAACAAGGATACCGCCACACAGTGTCTCTGCCTGACGTGTCAGAAACGAGGATATCGCCACACAGTGTCTCCGCCAGATGTCAGGAACAAGGATACCGCCGCGCAGTGTCTCTGCCAGATATGTCACAAACAAGGATACCGCTACACAGTGTCTCTGCCTGACGTGTCAGAAACGAGGATGCCGCCACACAGTGTCTCTGCCAGATGTGTCAGAAACAAGGATGCCGCCACGCGCAGTCCCCCCAGTCCCAGGACGAGGAGGAGGAGGAGGAGGAGGAGCACAGCCTCCAGGACCTCGTCCTGCTTCTCGCCTTGGCTGTCCTGCCCCAGCGCGGCCTCGGCGGGGGGGGGCGGGGGGGGGGGGAGGGGGGAGGGTTGGTGTGAGGAGTAGGAGGGGAGGAGGAGGTAGGAGGAGGAGGGAGGAGGGGGAGGAGGACGAGGGGAGGAAGAGGGAAAGGAGGAGGAGGAGGGGAGGAGGAGGGGAGGAGGAGAGCCGGAGTGCGGAGGAGGAGGAGAGTAGGGAGAGGAGAGGAGGAGCCCAGAGGAGGAAGAGGGGGAAAGGAGGAGGAGAGAGGAGGAGGACGAGGAGGAGGAGGAGGAAGAGGAGGGGGAGGACGAGGATGAGGGAGGAGGGAGGAGGAGGAGGAGGAGGGCGAGGGAAGGAGGAGCATGGCCTTGCAAGAGCTCGGTCGGGTTTTTGCCCTGGCTTTCCTGCCAGCGCGGCCTTGGGCGGGAGGGGGGGAGGGAAGGCGGGGGGGCGGGGGAGAGGAGGAAGAGGAGGGTGAAGAGGAAGAGGAGGAGGATTAGGAAGGAGGAAGGAGGGGAGCGGAGGGGGAGGAGGAGGAGGACGAGGAGGACGAGGAGGACGAGGAGGACGAGGAGGAGGAGGAGGAGGAGGACGAAGACGACGACGACGACGAGGACGAGGAGGAGGAGGAGGAGGAGGAGGAAGAGGAGGAGGGCCGCGCCTGAAGGTAGAAGAAACAGACTAGTCTACGAGACGTTACGAGACCTCATACCGTACGATGGTTGATGTATCAAAACAAGGATGCCGCCACACAGTGTCTCTGCCGGATGTGTCAGAAGCAAGGATACCGCCACACAGTGTCTCTGCCATATTTGTCAGAAACAAGGAAACCGCCACACAGTGTCTCTGCCAGATATGTCACAAACAAGGATACCGCCACACAGTGTCTCTGCCTGACGTGTCAGAAACGAGGATATCGCCACACAGTGTCTCCGCCAGATGCGTCAGAAAAAAAGGATACCGCCACGCAGTGTCTCTGCCAGATATGTCACAAACAAGGATACCGCCACACAGTGTCTCTGCCTGACGTGTCAGAAACGAGGATGCCGCCACACAGTGTCTCTGCCAGATGTGTCAGAAACAAGGATGCCGCCACGCACAGCCCCCCCCAGTCAGCACGAGCGGCGGCGTGCACAACGGGATCTCATCCACAGAAAAGCACAGCCTGGTCTGTGAGACCTCTGTCCGTCAGGAGGAGGAGGAGGAGGGGGAGGAGGGGGAGGGGGAGCAGGAGGAGGAGAAGAGGGAGGAGGAGGGGGAGGAGAACCACCAGCACCAGCAACAGCAACAGCAGGAGGAGGATGACGAAAAGGGAGAAGGAGGAACGCGGCCTCATGGGGCTGCATCTCCACGGCCCTCGCGTCCTGCCCTTCCTTGGCCTTCTGCTCCGCCTTCTCCCTCGCGCCCTGCTCTTCCTTGGCCTTCTGCTCCGCCTTCTCCCTCGCCTCCTGCTCTTCCTTGGCCTTCTGCTCCTCCTTGGCCTTCTGTTCCTCTTCCCTGGCCCTCATCACCGCCACTGCCGAGTGCGCTGGGTTCTCCTCAACCGGAACTTTCGGCCCCGCATTTTTCACGAGGATCTTGATGTCGTCCGAGTGCTTCGCCTCCACGAGTGTCGGCAATGTGATCTGGGCAGCGTCTTTCACGACAGAAGCCTTGAAATGGGCAATTTCCATGTACAAGCACTCAGCCCACGACAAGACGTCCTTGCTCTCTACGCGAGACAATTTCGACCAGACCTCGACGAGCGAGCGCTGGAGCGGCGTCAACATGGACGTGATGTCCAAATCCAACGCGGCCTTCGTCGCGGAGAAGAACGATGTGAACGGGATCCCCTTCAGAGGGCCTACGAACGGCTCCAAAGCAAGCAAGGCCGAGTCCCCCTCCCACGACTTCAGCCATCCGAACCGGAGGTTCCGCTCCCTGGCTCTGTTCTCGTTCTCGGTCTGCGCCTTCTCCATGCGCTGCCTGGACTCGACGAGGCGAGACAATCTGGGAGGACCCCCCTGGCGGGAAAATGCGGTTGGCTCCGAGACAAGGATGCAGCGCAATGCTCATATCTGCGTCCCACCACTCGTCCTCCACCTCCTCCTCCTGGGCCTCCTCCTCCTCCTCCTCCTCCTCCTCCTCCTCCTCCTCTTCCTGATGAGAGTAGGGTTGTTAAAAGGGTGTCACAGTCGTGGGCCGATAGGGCTTCGCAGTCGTTATGCCAGGTCCATTTATGGGGGCGCGCGTTTGCTGATCCCCAACAGTGCTTGCTCTGAACCCAAGGGGGGTCCCCCGCAAAGGGGAGGGCGGATGTAAAACTTTACTCCCAGGGGGGGGGGGCCCAACAAGGGCCCTCCGTGAAGGGTCCCAACGAGGCCTCAACATGGCCTCAAAACGGCAACCTATCCTGTTGTCGAGGCGAGGCGTAAGCCTCTCGGGAATCCCCCTCGAAAGTCGCCCTCCCGCCTCGCGTCGGCCTTCGCTGCCCGCTTGCCCTTGCCCTTGTCCTCTTTGTCCTCCGCGGCCTTGTCCTCTTTGTCCTCCGCGCCCATCAAGCCCGTGAGCAGGTGCGCCGCCTTGTCCCTGCGAGAAGCATTCCCAAGGATCGTCGATGCGAAGACGAGCTCGGGGAAGTCAGGGTGCAGCTTTGCCGGCTCGTGGACGTCACTCTTGTCCCCTGCTCTGGCATTGTTGACCAGCGCCTGCACGTGCGCCCGCCTGAAATCTGCATACAACCTGGAGCCCATGAACAGGAAGCGGCCCTCGGCGCTCAAGTGGCGCGCGCACGGCTCGGAGGTCTTCCACGGCGGAGTGCCAAGCTGGAAATGATAGGGGCGGGCCTTATCGCAGGGGCGCCCTGGTCTTCTCGCAGAGAGGAGACCCTGAGAGGCAAACTAAAGGCATTCCCAAAGGCAAACCACCTGCAAAGAAGGCCCGCCCTCGTTCACATCCTCTTTGGCCCCGCCTCTGCCTTGTTGCCAAGTTCGAAATCGACCGAGCTGACGATGGGCTCCGTGCATCCACGGCGAGGGAACCAGACCACGTCCTCGTTGGACAGCGCCTTCCGAGGAGAAGTAGGCCCCGAGAGGGGGACGGGCCCCAATGTGTTAACCTCCTCTGTGCCTCCCCCCCTGCTCCTCCTCCTCCTCCTCCCCCTCCTCCTCCTCCTCCTCGTCACCTTCCTTCTCCTAATCCTCCTTCTCCCCTCCTCCTCTCCCCCATCCTCGGCCTGCTTTTGCTTGTCCTCCTCCTCCTCCTCCCACTCCTCCTCCTCCTCCTCCTCCTCCTCCTGCTCATCATCATCATCATCATCATCATCATCATCATCACCATCATCATCATCATCAGCATCATCATCATCTTCGGTGCCGAGGCCACAGGATTTGTTAACTCGTTTCGGCGCTTATGGGGACGCGGCTGGGCGGACAGATCGCGCCCGGGTGGGCGGTGGATGGTTGGTGGGTGGTGGGTGAGATGGGGGTGCTTTTGGGAGGGCGGTGGCACGTGGGTGGCGGGGCGTGGTGGCTGAGTGGTGGCTTGGTGATGGGTGGTCGAGTCGCTGGGTCGGTGGTTGGGTGCCTGGGGAGTGGCTGGTCGGGTGAGTGGGCGGCTGGGTGCTGCGTGGTGGGTGGGTCGTGGGTGGTGGGTGGTGGTCGGGCGGGTGGTGGGTGGTGGGCGGGTGGTGGGTGGGATGGGGGTGCTGGTGGTGGTGGTCATCCAGGGGTGGGTGGTGGGTGGGTGGCGGGTGGGTGGTGGGTGGGTGGTGGGTGGGCCGTGGCTGGCGGCGTCGGCCGCCGGGTTGGCGGCTTGCTGGGTTGGCGGCGTCGGCCGCGAGGCCTGGGAAACATGCGCAGGGCGACTTGCCCTCTCCCCCGATTAAAAACCCGAGCCTTGAACTGCGCAGCGAAGTCGAGCGCCACCTCCCACGCCCCTGGGGCGTTCAGGAGGCCGTGCGCGACGACTTTCGGGATCGTCTGGATCGCCTCGCCGACGTCCGACTGGCGCGCGTCGGACGCCGCGAGGCGTCGCCACTTCGCCGCGAAATGCCGCAGCTCGGACAAGACCTGCCGAGCGAGAGCGCCAGGGGAGGGGCAATGCTCGAACCTCGGCCCTCCTGCAAATCATCGGATAACAACGGTTGGCCCCTGAAGGCCGCGACGCGCCCCTGAAAACCTCGAGCGCCCGGAATTCCCAAGGGGTCCTCAAAAGGAGGAGGAGGAGGAGGAGGAGGAGGACGACGACGAGGAGGAGGAGGACGACGACGACGACGACGAGGGGGAGAAGGCGGAGAAGGTGGACGGAGGAGGAGGGGGGGGAGGAGGAGAAGGAGAGACCGTGGAGCGAGTCAGGTCTGCGCTGCTCAACATGTTGTCTTTGAACGCCTTGTTGATAGCCTGGATGTAGTGCTTCACTTCCTCAACCGCGTCTCGCGGGCCGCTCGCCCCTCTGCGGAGCTCTCGAGGGACCATGCCGCGCAGCGCGGCCGCACGTTCCGTCGCCTTGCCGCTAGCAGCTTCGCTGGCCTCACCGTCGGCGGCGTCCGGGGGGCAGCTTGCTGGCCTCGCCTCCTGTGGCGTCACCGGCGTCGGCTTGGCGGCTGGTTCCCCCGTCGCGGGCTCTGGGGGCACGCTGCCCGACGCGCCTTCCGCCGCTTGCTCTCTCGCACTGTCGGCTGAGCTCGCAGGCGGACCACCCATCGCGAGCATGGCCTTGTCTGGCTTCTTGTCCTTCCACTTGGCGACGCCGTCAACGGACAGCACCACCTCCCCGACCCCCTCGCCCATCTCCAACATGGCTCCAGGCATGTACTGGACCTTCCTGTCCAAGATCCAGAACCGCGTCTCGTCGAAAGTCGGCGGCAGGTTCGAAAACGTCGACGGCTGCCGCACGAGGCCCTCGCACGGGGGGAAGCGCGAGAGGAGGAGGTGGGGCGGAGGAGGACCGCCACCAACACGGGCGCCCCGCGCACGCGGAAACACCACGGAACGCCTGCCCTGCGAACGCGGCCGAAATTGCGGGGGGAAGGGCGGGGAAAGGGGAGAGCGAGGACGAGGAGGGGACGGAGGGGTGGTCGAGGACGGGGGAAGAGAAGGATGAAAAGGAGAAAGGGGGAGGATATCACAGATACCTGCCAGGATGCCTGCGACCCGTAGTATGCGTAAATTCAAGTGGCCGTTTTAGTGGTGACGTCAAATGGCCTGTAAGACTTGTGAATCCATGTGGCCCTGTGCACTTGCGCATACCAGAGGGCCGCGGTATGTGTCAAGACAGCAAAAAGGAGACGAAGAGAAGGATAATTACGGATAAGAAGAGGAGGAGGCGACGCGACTCAACGATCCTTGTACTTCGATTCCATGATATTTGGCAAGTTCTTTTTGGGCACCTTCACATACGTGTCCACTTCGGCAGCCCTGTCCAGATGACCACAAAAACACTGCCTGTTTCCGAAGCTGGAAGGCGAGAAGATCGATTGTGCAGGCCCCTCGTTCCAGCTTCGATGCGGCACTGTTGCGTTTTTCTGATCAATGCGCCTCGTCTGGATGCTCGTCTGCGCATCTTTCCATTGCTTTTTGCTCACTCTGGGGTCCCACGGGCAACGCTCTTGAGCAGCTTTGCGCAGCGACAAGGCCATCGCCACGTTCTCGTCTGTCCTAGCAGCCCCCCACTTGCCCAACTTCTCGAGGGCCCACTCCTGCACGGGCGCAACGCCGAAACAGAGGAGGCGGCGCGCCGAGCGAGCCACGGGGAGGAGAAAGGACTTCTCATCAGACAAGGCGCTTCTGAGAACCATACTGGATGATTTTGAGAGGCGCCCCGCGTGCTCAGGAGTCCGGCCCCCCTCCCTCGTTGCCACGCAGGCGCGTCGCCGAAGGGATGGAGGGCGAGAAAACGAGGGAGAACAAAAGGAGGGGGACGACGACGAAGGGCAGCAGGAGGACGAGGAGGAGGAGGAGGAGGAGGAGGAGGAGGCGCGAGAGGAAGGGAGCGACGGCGAGAAGGATGCGGAGGCGAAACTCCACGGGACGAATGCCGAGTGGACTCGAACGTAAGACGTCCTTGTCCGCGCGATCGGCAGATTCGTCCGCCATGGCGACTGGGCGCACGGGGAAGCCCGAGGCCGAGTTCAACGGCGATTCTGGTCACAGCCCGCGGCTGCACAACGCTACCTGCCGAGCCGCGCTCTGCCCCCCAGCGAGGAAGAGGAGGAAGAGGATGAGGAGGAAGAGGAGGAGGAAGAGGAGTTTTTTTCTTGGGGCAAGACGCGAGACTAGACGAGAAGAGAAGAAGCCCGTCGAAGAAGACCCATCGGTGTGGTGCTGCAGTGTCCGACGAAACTGTACACCACGCGGCTGGTGCGGACAAATCCTGCCCCCCCTAGACAGACAACGGCCAGTTAAAAGAGCCACCCGTGACAATTATTGCCCGGGCGAGCGTTTGGGGAGGAAGGCGAGCAGGGAAAGCGGGCGACAAGGGAGATAGCATCACGCCCCGCGGGGGGTTAAAACTGAAACGTCCCTGGGCGGCGTTGCACGCACAGCGCACAGTGCGCGCACAGAAGCGCACAGCGCACAAGAAGCCCGTCCAGGGGCAAGAAAGAAGGAGATCCGCTGCCCCTCTGGGAGGCTTTCCTTACCCCGCTGGGCATAACCAAGCGGGGCATAACCAAGCGGAACGCCGTTTGCACAAGGGGGGCACGATTTGTCCGCCCCATTGGTGCCGACAGGATGCACCAGCAGACTGTCAGAACGAGAGCTCACAGGTTACACGCGCCGCTAAGGTGGGCAGGAGGAGAAGGAGAAGGAGGAGGAGGAGGAGGAGGAGGAGGAGGAGGAGGAGGAGGAAGCGAAGGCGAAGGCAGGGAGAGGAAAAACATAGCACACAGAGCGAACGGACAACCAGACGTAAAGATCAACGCCTGGCGAGAACATTGCCGAGCGAACACTAATTTCCACTAATTTTCACTAATTCTCACTAATTTTCACTAATTTCCACTAATTTCCACTAATTCTCACTAATTTCCACTAATTCTCACTAATTTCCACTCGGGAGGGGGATGGGGGGAGAGAGGCCGCCAGGCTCGACCACCGAGGGACCTATCGTCGAAATCGGCTGACCTCACAGTTAAGGAGGCCTGGGCACGGCATCCGAGACAAGGATACAGCGCACTGCTCATATCTGCGTCCCACCACTCCCCCTCCTCCCCTCCTCCTCCTTCCTCCTCCTCCTCCTCCTCCTCCACCTCCTCCTCCTCCTCCTCATCCTCCATCCTCTCCTTCTCCTCCTCCCTACCATTCCTCCTCCTCCTCCCCTCCTCCTCCTCCTCCTCTCCTCCTCCTACCTCCTGGCTCTCCTGCTCCTCCTGCTCCTCCTGCTCATCCTGCTCCTGCTCCTCCTCCTGCTCCTCCTGCTCCTCCTCCTGCTCCTCCTGCTGCTCCTCCTCCTCCTCCTCCTCCTCCTCCTCCTCCTCCTCCTCCTCCTCTTCCTGATGAGAGTAGGGTTGTTAAAAGGGACCTATCGTCGAAATCGGCTGACCTATCGTCGAAATCGGCTGACCTCACAGTTAAGGAGGCCTGGGCACGGCATCCGAGACAAGGATACAGCGCACTGCTCATATCTGCGTCCCACCACTCCCCCTCCCTCCCTCCTCCTCCTCCTCTCCTCTCCCTTAACTCCTCCTCCTCCTCCCTCCTCCTCCTCTCCTCCTCCTCTTCCTCCTCCTCCTCCTCCTCCTCCTCCTCCTCCTCCTCCTCCTCTCCCTCCTCGCCTCCGCTCCCCATCCTCCTTCCTCCTCCTCTCCTCCTCTCCTCCTCCTCCTCCTCCTGCTCCTCCTGCTCCTCCTGCTCCTCCTGCTCCTCCTGCTCCTCCTGCTCCTCCTGCTCCTGCTCCTGCTCCTGCTCCTGCTCCCGCTCCTTCTCCTGCTCCCCCTCCTCCTCCTCCTCTTCCACATGAGAGTAGAAGAAGCAGAAGCGGTCTGCTGACCGGCCGCGGCGGGCCGGGCCCCTGACGGCACGCGGAAGCGCGCCTGGGCAGACCGAGTGAGACTGGCAATCAGACAGACAAGCCACGCACCAGGCGGCGCGCGGGCGTGAACACACGTGGAAAATACAACGTTCTCTTATTCGGACAACAGGACAGGCCGACAAAGAGAACGCGGGCAAGGCAAGGAACAGGGGCCGACGGGAAAGCGAGGAGCCGAGGGGCGAGAGGGAAAGGGGGCGAGGAGGGACGACAGGAAAGGACAGAACAGGCCGACGGACGGACAGACGAGGAAACGGGGAAGGGAAGGGAAGCCAAGCGAGGAGACAGAGGGAGAGCACACAAGACGCAAGGGCAAGGAAACACAAGGGCAAGGGGGGGAGGACACGAAGAGGGGGAGGAGGGAGGAGGAGCCGAGAGCCAGAGACAGGACAAGGCAGGAAGAAAGGACACACAAGACCAGCTGGCTGGGCGCACAAGTGGCACTAACGGAAGACTTGCTGCAATCCTGGCGTGTCACAGTCGTGGGCCGATAGGGCTTCACAGTCGTTGTGCCAGGTCCATTTATGGGGGCGCGCGTTTGCAGATCCCCAACCAGCGCTTGCTCTGAACCCGAGAGGGGTCCCCCGCAAAGGGGAGGGCGGATGTAAAACTTTACTCCTAGGGGGGGGGAATAAAACTTCGAACCTCAAGACGGATGCACAAAGGCAGCAGTGCGATGCGAGACAAAACGTGGTGTACAAATGTGAAACATCGCCCAGCTAGCTGGACAGGAGGGTCATGCATGACCACGCGTCCGCCACTCACCGCGGCAAGGTCTCACACACCGCCTGCGAGAAGGACGTCGGGCGCCCACTCCTGGATCGCTCCCCTGGTATTCGCCGAGAGGTCGATGGCCCCGGCGTCCCGAGCCAACCTCCGATGCTCGAGGTCGTAGAATGCCCTCCTGGGAAGCCAGGGGGGGAGGCGCGGAAAGAAACGAAAGACCAGAAGGACAATGGGAAACATTTCGTCGGGATGTGGCCCCGATGTCCTCGCTGGGTTCCTGGAGTGCCAGTTCTTGAACCTCGATCGCCACAGCATCCACGCGCGCAACGCCAAGTAAGTCTGCACGGGGGGGTCCGCGTTGGGGTCCCCGTCGTACACCACGAAACGGCAAGTTTTGCTTGGTTCATGGCCGCCGAGTTCGTCAGCCTTTCGCCACCGATCCGAAAGCACGATTCTTGCATTGCAATAGTTCCAGTGGTTCTGATTGTTGGTAAGCCTGCCCGCGCAGCGCCATCCCCGAAGGCACGCTCGGCGTGTCAAATACATGTTCATCCACCTCCTCCTCCTCCTCCTCCTCCTTTCGCCTCCTCCTCCTCCTGCCTCCTCCTCCTCCTCGTCCTCTTTCTCTTCCTCCTCCTCCTCCTCCTCCTCGTTAAGGGGGGGTTACGTGCTCCTTGGGCGCTCTATGGGCATGCGGGTCTAGGGGCCTCCAAGGTGCTAAGGGTTACATGCTCTTCTGTATTTGGGTGCTCCGTGGACCTCTAGAGGCGAGGGGGGACTAAGGGTAACGTGCTCTTTGGGCGCTCAATGGGTCTGCGGGCAGAAGCCGAAGTTGGCTAGTAGCCGTTGTTCCAAACTGTCCATGTCCCTGGCGGCGCACGGAGAGGGAGATCAGGAAGATCGCCCTCTCCGTCGCCGCCGCCTTCTTCGTCGGCGGGAGGCACTGGCAACGGTTCGAGGACATCTGGGCGAGCGTCCTTCTCCTCGCCCTCCTGCTCGCTAGCGGCCCCACTCTCCATGTCAGACACCATGTCGTTTTCAGACGAAACGGAACTCACGTCGCTGACGCATTCGGGATCGGACCCCTCTGGGCCGTCGTCCTCGCCCGACTCGCCACCGACGGTCGGGGATTCTTTCCGACGCTTCTTGG